ACATAGGTGTGAAGCCTCTGGATTTGCTTTTAAGCTTCATTTATTCACAAGAACGTTTAACATGGGGAGAAAACATCTCCAACTGTAGTGAAAAACAATCAGTTTCCCAAAGGACATTTCAAAGGTATTCACTGCGTGTGTAAAAATGTATAGGACAAGATATTCAGATCCCTTAGTGCCTTCTTCATTTAGGATTAAGAGGGGTGAGGGAACTATAAAACCTTAGGCATGCAGGTACAAAAAAGCATTATTTTCTCCAAGCTACCTAAACCTCTAAGGTAAGGCTCATCCAGATGTAGGTGATTTCTGGTCCTTCAAGCAGTGTGAGTAATTTCCAAATAGCCCACCTGAAAAGCATTAGAGTTTTCCTAACACATGGAAGCTAAGCCTTAGCTCCTTCTATGGCAGCTGCTGAGCTTTGATGGAAATTTTACTTTTCTCTTTGGGGTAAGTGGGTATCTGAGAGATCTGGAGAGCTCTCCGTGTGGAAACAGGTCACTAGGAAAAGCCTACCGCAGCCAGGGTAACGCATACTGCAGCAGCAAAACCAGTTGATAGCTTCTCAGCCTCCCATTCAGACCCATTTCTGCCTCAGTTTTGTAACCTCTGAAGTTGTTATTTTGCAGCTGTTTCTTGGAGTTAAATTTGTCTTCCCAAAGTTATTTTTTTTTTTAATCAATTCTGTCAAGGATGATTTCATTGTTGACCAGAAGCAAACTAAGACCAATTCCCAGCAGTACTGCAGAATGAACAGATGCGTTGGTGGAATTTAGAAGGTAAAGTACAGCAAGAGACAGGGACATGTGTTTTGGGGGCTGAACAAGATGACCTCTGGCGGTCCATGGTGCTGTGATACACGTGGCTACTGCTGCAGGCTTAATAAGGGTTTGCCTGGAACTTTTTTAATGTCTAGATTTGATCTTTTTCACACATAAGGGATGTTAGAAAGTAGTCTGATTATGGGTCACTGAAAAGAGGTTGTTGAAGTCTTTCACTCAGAGTAAGAACAGGAACAGAACTTGTTTAGAGAACAGTCATGCAGTCACCTGACATTACAAGTGGGCACAAACGCACATGAGGAGCTCACTAAATCCTGCTGACATCTTTCCATTTGCAAAACCACGAAAACAGGGCTCTACACATTTAGAAGACGGATCTATAAAACACGGAAATAGTTATCTAATGGGACCTGATCCTCAGGTGAAACAAGCAGCTATGATGTCGATTTATGTTAGGAGAGAACCTGGCGCTTGGTATTTTATTCAGTAAAGTCTTATCAGTCTCTCATATTTTTTGGTAAATGCAATTACCCAGATCTTCACATTTAAACTGCTTTAAAAAGAATGACATAAAACTGGATATTAGTTCACAGTTAGGGCTTTGAAATTATATAAATAACTGTAAAATGAATGGAGGAAAAAGCTCAGAATTTGCAAAATGACACAGTGGACTGAACTGTCTTCCTCATCTGCCAATGTTCCGCCTGCCAAATTTACAAGGTATGAAGAAAATGTTAGTTGGACATGCATGTGAGGAATAGCTATTGCATATGGAACGCAGCTACCAACAAACAACGCTGCATATTGCTGAAGCAGCTGCGCAGGTTTTGCACATGCAGTTCCACATTTTGGGCACACATTGCAGCCATACTTCACGTCTTCAGAAATATTTAAATAACAAACGGAAAATCCAATCCCCCCCTCCCCTGCACGCACACATGTTTTTGTTAGATGAGAGAACAATTCTGCTTCATGATCGGAGATAATAAAGTACTGTGCATTACATTTATCGTTATTCTAACTCACTTGAGTCAGTGTTGTATAGTACATATATACTCAGCAGACAGATAGTTATATCTACATTCATCACTTAGACATACATTTTAGATTTGTGCCAGTCGCCTATAAGAATTCAGCTGACTGGCACCAAACGAGCCACAGAATCATATTTCTAGTATCTTACAAAACGTCATGAGGAAATGTTAGGTATTACTTTTATTTTGTATACTGAGTCAGTTTGTCAAGCCACCAGCCTTTGCAACTCCTGCCTGCTTCAGATGGTAGAAATATGACAATGTGTCAAAGAGCTGATGTAAGTAAGGGGAAATTATATTTATTCTCTAAGATTAAGTCTAGAAGAAAGGCACCATGAAAGAAAGATGAATTTTTAAACACATACAAAGGGAGAGATTTATTGCTCGTGGTGACACGTAAATCGACCAGTGACTGACTGTGATATACAAGGATAATGAGACAAGTCCAATGCTGTATTCTTCTCCATGTTTAACTAGCCATCCTAAACATACAGTGGGTTTTATTTTGTTTCCAGGGAATTTAGCTTACTCTGTGTGAATAATTGATCTGAAATTCAAAATCCTTCTGGGACTATCTTCATTGACATACAAAAGTCCCATTGACTTTGGCAGCAGCCCTATGTATAAGTTGACAACAGCTGTGGACTTTAAAAATCATCCTGTTGTAGTTTACTCAGGTAAAAGTGGTCTCAGTAAAACATATAACAATCCTATATAGAGTTTTTATCTTTCTAAACTCACTAATAATTTTCTAATATCCGGCATTCTGATACAAATGAATTTCTTAAGAAACAAGTATTGAACTGGGTGTTGTTACCTATTGCACCTGAGAAAATTAGGTTATGCCTAAGAAGTAAAATGATTAAGATGAGGTAGACCATTTAATCTGGAGAAAGACTAATTTTGAAGAAAGTGTTGTGAAAACTTACTTAAAGTATGTCTCTATATTTGTGGGTATATGTTATTGTAATTATGTTATATTTTTATAACTAAAAGTAATAGTGAAGCTTCTTTTTTTAATTTACATTGTAGTTGATGATCTTCATTATATTAATTCTTCCATTTATAAATCGTGACAATTTATATATTGTTATGGTTCCTTGTAGCTGTAGGACTATGTTAAGGGCTAAAGAAAGGATCTCCAGACTAACAGCTGAGGTATGGCGCCACGTTCGCTGATGATGGGGTGTAGCCTCTCACTGAGTTACTTGTCTGGGCTTTGAATCACAAGACAGAAACCTCAGCAGACAACACTTTTTACAAGGTATGAAAGAATACATAATGTCTGTTCTATCAAAGACTTCTATTCATGGTAGAGTTTGCCAAATGGAGCATGTTAATGTTTGCAAACTGACTGATATTGATAATTTGAAATGAGTGACAGGGAAAGTACAATTTTATCTCATTAACCTTTGCTGTCAGGGATTGTGCAGAGCTGTAGGCATCAAACAGTGCCCTTTGCCTGGGGGACACGGGAGGTAATAACTAAAATGTAATCCCGTGTTTTTTAGTACTGAGGTCCTTATTTTCTCAATATGATGCAGATCATCTTTTCTTAACATGAAAATTATAAGCAAGAATATTCAGTTATATCAGCTATTATTTAAGCTGTCATTGCATGCATGAAGCCTGATTGACCAAGACTATTCAAAATCTGGGTATGTATTTACCCTCACTGAAGAAACTCTTTTTTTTTATGGCCACTGGACAGCAGCTTTCTTGACCTATTCATCAAAAATTCATTTGATTTCTGATGTTAACTTGCTGTTGTCTTTTGGAATTTATGTCACTTTCTGTAGAAAAATGTGTGCAGAATTAAGGTCAGATTTGGTACTAAGTCTTTTGCTTATCAAAATATAAAGCATTTGAAATGAGTAGTTCTGGATCTGAAAAAAATTTTAAGAGTTTATGAGGAAAAAAACTTTGTTTCCAATTGTTTCAGAAATCAGAACAACAGAAGTAAAGCCTGAGTCATTATTGATCTTGATATTTTCCAATTTAATTAATAAGAAAACACTTCAAAAGCTGTCTCATTTCATAGTGTGCTCACTGAATTGAGAGAGAAGTCACTGAAAATTACCCAGGAAAGTAACTCTCTATTAGACACCAAAGGGTGGCTTCAGCATCGCGTCTACATGACAGTTGTGAAGCCATCTACTAGCTGTAGTTGTACTTCCAATGAACTAAATCACGTTTGCAAAAATTAAGATAACAGTGGTGATGTCTGAGGAAGGGTGACATGTAGGATTGGTCTGGTTTTCAAAATTTTACTGGTATTGAAGCCTATATTAGCTGTAGGCTGAACTGGAGGTATAGTAAACATTAGTAACATTACTGTGCATAGCTGTAGTCTACAGCTATAAAGGTCTATACTGAAAACTTCTGAGATTTGCATATTGAGATGTAGATTCAGATTGGCTGCACTCATGGGGGGGGGGGTGTCTATTATTTTTACTCTATTTGGTTTAGAAATTATACTTTTAAACTCAGCTTTAGGCTCATCTTTCCTTTAAGTAACATATCTGTAGGTAAAATAACCATGATTAATGATATTAGAAAAAGCAATTTTGGGGGTATTTTGGTAGGTTTGTTGTTTGGTGGGTGGTTCTGAGAGGATTGGTGCTTTGGGGTATTTTTTCCCTTGGGCCCAGGGCCCCATTCTCCAGCATCAAGCAAAATCCATCTCTTTGTAGCTCAGATATACTAGAAGGTATGCAGGAGGCATCGTGACCTTTCCATCCTGTCTACCATTTCTATTTTGCTGTAATTTAATAGGGAGAAAACTAACGGTATTCTGTGGAAATTACTTGAAAAACTTAGAGAAGACAGGGCTGAATCCAGCCATAGAGTACTTCAAAGTGATTTTTTTCTTCCTTCAATTCTACAGGATTGTTCAAAAACTGTGTATTAGAAGAGTTTGAAAGATGCTTTGGGCACAATGAGTATCTAGGTAAAGGTATTTCTATTAAGCTTTTCCTGTTAAGAGGTTTTCTATACACAACCTACTCAAAGAACCAGGTTGGGGTGGTTTTTGTAAAGGCAGGTTGGCAACCCCATTGGAGGGAGTGTTACCTGCAGCCAGTGAAAAATGCAGCACATATATCCCTCTGTGGCTTTTTAGAATAAACTTATGATGGCATCAGTTTGCTCCCATTACTGTCATGAGTCCTTCTGTTGAAGACTATATGTATGTGTAACTGCTGATGGAGATCAATGGGAGATTTGTATTAGTGAAGCCTGCAGGACCACAGATCAATAACACTCTTTTAGTCGGAGGCAGGAGGTCCAAAGCAGCCTGCCTCCCTTAGATGCTACATGGGCTTCTCGACAAACATGGGCTGGGCTTCAACCTGTCCAGGACTGCCTTCCGAAACCTTGACAGCTGAGGATACTAGGGATAGGCCAGTTACTTTTGTTTCCTATATATCATTTTATGTGTCTTGTAGGTCCCATACCAGGCTCCTCATTCGTTCAGCTGCAATATATTCCTATTGTGCGATTCGCTCGTGAGGGCAGAGGAATTGATGGAGCTTCTTTTGAGGATCTTGTTTATGATGTCTTTCCATGTCTTCTTGTACTGATGCCGTAGCAAAGAGTACACAAAAGGGTCTGAAACAGCTTTGCTGTAAGCTAAGCACTTGGAAATGATTCCCCAGTGGGAGTTGATGTGGACCACAGAGGATAATTCAACAAGTCTGTGGAAACAGGAAGGTTAAAAGAGTGAATGTTCACATTAAAAATGTGGAACAACAGCACAACTGTAAGGCAAAGACACCCCCCCCCCAAACACCAATTTATTCCTGGAAAGCTGCAAGAAAACAAAAGAATGGCATACTCATGAAAATGAAAATGTAGTCCTTCACTTATACATTTCTAAGACTGCAAATGTAAACTTGAAGTCTATTTCCTATGGATGGGACTACACACCTCCTATCAGAGTGTCTTGGCCTCCAAACTTCAAGACATCCTTGGCTGTATGTTTAACTGTACCTTTACTGAGCCTGGAAGCAGACCTTGGATGTGTTACCTCCTACCAGGTTCTCTTACTCATTTTCCTCAATAAATGTTGAATTCTTGAAAGAATTTAGTGCAAAATGGAATAACTCCATCAGGATATGAAACAGTCTTCAAAAGATCCCATTTATTTGCTATTAGAATATGCCTTTTGGAGTGTAAAACGAGTACAGATCTCTGATGTAGAGCTGGGTTTTCAACTCGTCTGTCTCACTCCGGCCATCAAGGTATTTGATAAAGGAGCACCCTTCTCTGCAGGCTACTGTACCCTAGCCCTATTTGTACTGCCTGGTGAACACCACTGTGGGGATCATAAATACTCTGAGATAAGCTGGTCAACACTTCACAGAAAGTTTACTGCTGATGAAATAGGTCACACAGCATCTACTCAAAATCATTTCCTCCATAACATATCCTCAACCATTACACTTTTAGGCTCTGTGCCAAATTTATCCATACAGACAATGTGTGTTACTTTCTGTAGTGACTCCGTGGTTTTCAGTCCTAAAAAGATTTCTTGTTAGACAGTAACATTTCACTTCATTATATATTTACTGTATTATTTTACTTTACTTTTTGTGTATTTTTCTAGTGTGTGTCATAAGATCACATTTCTGGCAGCTGAAGTTCATCACAGACTTAATATAGCTCTAAAGGGAATGACAGGAATATCATCTCCCCAGATATGCTTCCTGATGACTTTCACACTTAGTGTCACCACTGAATCCATCATGCACACCAAATTTAACCACAAGTATTTTATAAAGTTATTTCTGTATAACCTAACATGATTTTTGAAATACTGATGCAAAACCACACTTTGACGGCCTAAGTCTGAGGTCAGGACACCAAGTGCCATTGCTTGGTCTTATGGGAGTCATATTCTCCTTCCATTAGCTGTCTAAAAATCAAGTATTTAGTCTGAACTTGTGGTTCTAGGTCCCCACGTCAGCATTCGAGAAACACCATCACCAGTGCTCTCTGGCTTTCTTAGCCAGTCCAGCTCCTAGAGAGAGAGTTTGATCCTTTAAACAGTTTGTCTGGGTCATAGGAAAAGCACACAAGGAAGGAAAATGCATCTTTGAGAGATGGCATAATAGATCTTGAATTTAAAAAATACTTTTAAAGGCCAAACATTTACATTTGCAACAAATACAGCAAGGCAAAACTTTTAACTCATTAGGGGATGGAGGGAGAGAAGGAAGAGCTTTATGTATTCCTCATACTGCTCTAACACAGAGAGATCACTTTGTACTAGGATAGAGTATATTTAACAGTGAAATATTGATATCTCCACAAGGTTTTCTCTCTCCATGTCTTTGAGCAACACTGAAGGGCAGTTCTGTTCAATATGCCTCTACAGCTGCTGAGAAACTATTGATTCTTCTAGAGGACAAACAGCTGCATGTGCTGCTATAGAGCCCCACTATGCAAGGGCAAATAAGACCTTTGCTGAAACTGTCTCCAGCAGAAGGTGCTGTCAAACCAGCCTGGAAAATACTTCAATTGCTAATGTATCTTCAGACAAAGCACCATATCCAAGGTGCATTCTGCAGCACGGTTCCTGCAGCAGCAATGGCAATAGTGTTGGTACTTCAAGCAGTTTAGGGATGAGGATTTTTTCCTTAGTCATTTTGTTCCCGTTCCATAAACTTTCACTATGTCATGTTGTTTAAAATAGCACTGGCAGATGGCATGGTCTGCCATCTGAGCAGATGGCATTTGAGCATGAGACCATTTGACCATCATTTGAGCATGAAAGTGGGACTAAGGAGCCTTAATTTGTTACAGCACTGACTCCAAGATTCTGTCTTCTCTCCCCATTCTAGTTTGCCTAGACTGCAAACTCCAAGGCAAAAGCTCTGTATCTCCCTAGATATGTGTGTTGGGCTTAGCACCATGGTCTGCATCTAGTGCTGGGGCTTAAGCCACTGTCACAGTATTGGTAATTCTAATACTGAGCATAGTTGTGCGCATTTTGTGCTAGCAATTTATTCACATTGTGTATCACTTTCATTGGAAATGAGGTGCACCTGTAAGATGATGCTTTTAGGGGTGGTGACATTAGCCAAAACACTCTTTGGAATCACAGATGTGTGAAACATCTGAGGTGATGAGGTTATGTTACATGAAAACAGTTGGGAATTTTGCCCCTCCACTAGTACCACTTGTGTCAGCTTCTCACCGTAAGCAGCTTTGAGATACCAATGAATGTCCATCTGTCCATTTATCTCTCTTTTCATCTACACCAAAAAAATGATGTCGTTCTTTCAACCTTTCCTTGCATCTCCTGGCTGATATCTTTCTTGCAAAGTAGGATCGAAACCCAGACGTAATTGTCATTTGCTCACACTGCCAGGTGGTCTCGTTTGGTGTGTTCTCTCTTGTTTAATAAAATGTACCCTCTGACACCCACATTGTTATGCTTGAAAATGAGAATTTACTATTTGGAAATTAATCATCTACTGAGTCATATTTACTTTGTAATCTACCATGAGCCATCTTTGTGATTCTTCACTTCATATATTCAATGCCTTCTTTGTATTTTGAGTTTCGTTGTGTTAAATTTCATCGGGTTGATTTACTTTTTACTGAACGTTTTATAGATGTGAATTTGATCAAATTCAATTAAATCCAGTGGATGCCTCAAATGACCAAAATATGACAGATTTATGTCTGAGTCTCTGTCAGTCAGCTCTACAAGATGTTAACAATCTCCATTTAAAGCATATCAAATACAGTTGCAAGCCTAGACTTACTAATTTTACCTTCACTGAGTGATCAGCTAAGCCTACACTTTAACCAAAAGACTTTGAAATATTTTCCTTGATTGCGTTCCTAAAGTATCCTTGATATTTACACATTTCACAATTCTTGTGTATTATTTTTGATGGTAAATTACGTTTGCAGATATCAAGAAGCAAATACAGAATTTGTGCAATTCTATTTTCTGTACAAACAATTAAATTTCAGTCTTTCAAGGCACGTCCCTTACTTTATTGCCTCTGAAAGAAGGTTTTGTTTCTCATTTATGAAGGAAATTACATGCATAGCTTCAATATTCTTGAAATGTTTCAGCTAGAAAGAAGACATTTTCAGTGAAGGAGCATTAATATTTCAGTGCTACCTGTAAATTAAATTCTAGAGTATCAGCTACATCAGTTCCTATCTTGCTTCCATAAGCCACTCTTCTACCTTCTGGTCTTCAATATCTTTTTATTTCAAAACTAGAAGATGTTTTGCTGTGATATTTGATACTTTGATCTCTGATGCAGATAATACACACTGAAAACCCTTTATATACATGTGAAGTTAATCACTACAGTAAAATGTTTTCATGACCATGTACGTGTCCAGCTTGAAGGCTCCTACAACTGCAAGATATCTGTTATGTATTACATAAACCTGAGAACTTAACTGAGTTACAGAGAAAACTATGGATAAACCAGTCTTAAGCTAAAATACTTGTTGTTCAGGAGCGAAACAAAGCTGGCAGCGTATTCGGAGCTGGTAGATGATGTAGTTCTCACAAGAAAAAACACAGTCTTTTCCTTAAGGATTTGTATCAGCTCTTGCATTCCTAATATTTCTGTCATATTTCAGATTTTTTTTGTCTCCACACAAGTCCCATAGTATCAGGATTATACTTTTATTTGTTTCTATTGTGCTATTGTTATGAATAAGCTGAGCATGAGTTCTATCTTGATGTTTATTTTACTTTATTTTCACTTTATTGCTTGGTAGGCTGAATTCTTTGTATGCTGTCTTGCTAGTGAAAAAGCCCTATTTTAGTAATTGTTTCCTAATACAAAAAATGGCATCACAATTATCATTACCTCATTTACTCTTAGCCAGTTTCGTGTCTGAAGTGATGCATGTATTACAACCAGACAGCTTCTGGGAGGAAGCAGTACCAGTTTTGGACTCCTGTAGTTAGAACTGCAAATTCTGCAAACCATTGCTTTCAGTCGTTCCTGTTCCCCACAGCTGCAAGAGCCATCTCCCAGCACAGAGATATGAGGGTAGCAAACAGGACTGGCCAGCTTGTACCAAAAGATTTTTCCACCCAGGAGGAAAATTACCTAACATCAGCTGAAGCTTTTGACCAGAAGGCCTCTTTCTTCAGATGTGTCAACCTAAGATGATTGCATAGGAAAATCATGCATTTATATGCACAGACAGGCAGGAACAAAACTTGCAGAAGAATTCTTAAGCCTGAGCAAGATCTGCATGCAGAAGGCAGGCAATCAGTTTAAAAGCATAGTTGCAGTTTGCTTATCCTTGTCTCCCAGAGATGATAAAGAGAACATTAATCTTCTGCCTGTTCCACCATCCTCCTCTGTAACCTGAGGACTGGGGTTATGAATGTCTTTCTGCTATTACTTCAGGATTTTTAATTCAAGGCCCATTTCCTCACACATTGACGGCACTTATTAACTTCCATATGCAAAGTTCTGTATTTCAATATGAAATACCTGGTGTTGGAAATGAATATTAGAAATTGGTATGACTTACTTTAAGTTTTCTTATGCAAAAGCTCCTTGCAGAAAGTGTTTTGAACAACGCTATTGAATTGCATAATGATAAATATAGCAAAAGAAGAGATGTGTGCTAATAGAATATTTACAAACCAAGAAACAAGCTATGCCTAAAAATATTTACTATGGGATAATACAACTGTCATATAGGTACAGTGGAAACACTGAAGCAAAAAGAATCAGCTACTGAACTAATTAGAAGGGCATTTTCTTGATAAAAGAGGAGCTTAAACTGATTTTTACCTTAATGTAATCTGAAAAACTCTGGTTTATCTAGAGAAGAATTTATCTGATTAGGGTTATTAGCACAACTCTGTGACTGGTTCATGGAACTGCTAGAGACAACTATAAGTTTTTAGTGTGGAAGCAGAAAGATGTTTTATAATAAAAGCTTTGATTTGCTGCTTTCACACCTCAGTACACAAGGTACTTAACAGCACATTTAATTTAAGATTATTGCTGTCCAAATGAGAAGCTGAGCAACAGACTTCATTAACTGTCTTCTGTTCACTGCCTTGAACTGATTGACTGCCTCCATCTCTGCCTCTACCTACAAAGCACTGGACTTGGTCCAGAAGATAATACTTGCTTACATAATTAAGCTCAAAAGCCTCCTAGTCCTTCAGCACCCTCAGCCATACTTGTGAGGCATAGGGAAGTCCTAGAACAGTATAATGTCCAGCAAAGTCTCTCAAGTAGCTAAAGAGGGAATTCCCACCTCTGACAGTGTTCAAGGCCAGGCTGGACAGGGCTTGGAGCAAGCTGCTCTAGTGGAAGGTGTCCCTGCCCGTGGCAGGGGTTGGGACTGGACAAGCTTCAAGGTCCATTTCAACCAAAACCATTCTAGAATTGTATGATTCCATAATTCCCTGTAGCTTGTTAAGCAGAATCCCCCTGATGTTTCAGAACTGAAAAGTTCAGGGACATGATAGCCTTTACCCTGCCTGACAAGTGTCCAAGTCTATCCCTGTGCAGGCAAGCGTCTTCATGCGTTCAGAAAGCTATATTTTGACTCTTCTCATCATTGCTGTCTCTGGCAAAGCTATCAGTCCTCAACAGACTGAAGGGGAATATTTAAACGGCCCTTGTATGGACTAAAGGGAGGGGGCTAAGGATTTTTCTAACCCCTCTTCTGTATCTTAAGTTTACTGGGAAGCAAATTAGGATGCCACAGAGTTAAGAGAAGGTGAAGGAGGTGGTGCCTGTTTGCTGGGCTGAGATGCCTATGGAGGAGCACAAAAATACTTCTGACAGTTCTGGTTAGAGCACTCGGCGTCTCTCAGGATGAAGCTGCCAGCTATTCTGGGACTGTGACGATTCTCATTAAGTTCAGAGACCCAGCATAAAATGAAAATTAACCATTTGCAAAGCGACAAATACTTCAATATCTTATACCCTGAGAGCTAAGGTTAAGTGTCCATAATTACAAATCCTCTCCTACTCCCTTAGAGTGTGTGGTACAGTGTTTTTTTGTGACTACTAAGTGAAAGTGAAGGTAAATCTAGTAACACTGTTACAAATGTGTTTGCAACATTGTTACAAATAAACAGCATGAATCAATTACCTATTATTATCATGAACATAAAACCAATGTGACATGCAGGTTTCTGTTTTTACCAAGAGATTAAAATACCTTCTTAACAGTTTCGTTAGAAATAGAAATTCAAGATATTATGTTGAATTGGAAAGACTTGGGGTTGGCACATGCCCACTTATATGAAGTCTTAATTCAGCTTTTTTAATGATTATTTATGATGGATCTGAGTTTGGCTGAAGTCAGCCCCAATAATTTCTATTTGATAGCATTAGAATAGGAGATACTTTAAAAATATTCTTTTCTTTCTCTATTCTGCATAGCAGCATTTCAGTTTTTTCCGGAGTCTTTTAATAAGGAATTCAAGTTGTAAATTTTCTTCAACAACTAGATAACACTTTTCTGGATATATTCACTTTCCAATACTTTATGTTTCATAGGAGTAATTTTGTGTTTCCCACAGGAGCCATTCCCAAAGATAAACTAGGAGATAGATAGACATCTGACCATAAATCACAGGATTTTTCTTTAGCTGTATAACAGAACAGCTTTGATATTTGATGTTTATGGGTAATAAACTCTATCCAGCCAGACAAAACTATCATTTAAGTCTGTGGACCATGTTCTCACCTCAGTTGGATCTTGTTGACCAGAGTTTTACAGTCTGACCTACTCAGACAAGTATCTCTCCCTGAACCAGGGTGGGAATCTGAAAAAAGCCCGCAAAATCCCATGGGCTGACTTCCTAAATTAGATTACTCCCATGCAACCAACACATTGACTGGGTTGATGGGACAGAGTTTGGTCCACAGACAGCATCAGGAGTGTATCACATAAGCATTATGGCGTTTTATATAGGGCTTTTTTAGCTCAGTAAATGCAGTCTCTGTCATAAGAGTTGAAACAGTGCACAACATTTTTACAGGAGACTTGAATCATATTCTGGCTCGGAGTGCCCTACTTCTCTGAGCTAAGAGTGCATCTCAGTACTCTTTTCCAGTATGTAGGTTCACACTTACCTCGTAATTACATAAGGTGCAAAACAAAGTATGAAAGTACCAATAAAGGTACTTATTTTCTTTGTTGCTCGCTGCCTCCTCCTCTTTTGTTCTTCTAGACAACGCTCTCTTACGCTGCGTGACATTCAACACAAACAAGAACATGAATCATAATATCAGGTAGCAGATTTTAATGGCTTTACTTATGGAACGATGGAAATCACTCTTTCCAGGAACTATTGTAATCACAGAAGTCAATACCACGTGCACTGCATTTATGTGGGGCAATGCCAAGTATTAATTCATCGTATGATCATCCTACTCTCCAAAAACAATCACTGAGAAATGCATGATTATACATTCATATGCACACACCCCCGTCATATAGGTTTATATATAGTGAAAGTGGTGGAATTCAGCCTTGAATTCAGTTACAGCTTCTTTTTGAATTACTGCAAGCACTCTTTTGAACCCAGAGTTTGCCTCATGTTATTCAGAGACTTGGAAAATATCCAGAGTGGGGTAGGCAGCATGCTACTTCCCTAGAAACAGCAATTCCAACATCACTGCCTCATATAGGAGAAACCTCCCAGCAAGATAAGCAATAAAACACAATGAAATAATAACAGGGAAAAATCATGCTCTCAACATTCAGCCCAATGTTGGAGCAATCGCTGTGTCCCATAGCTGTGAACTGTGTGGCCATAAATCTTTTGTGCTCTGCCTGTGCTGAATGCTCTGCAAAGCTGGGAATCATATAACAAATCCACAGCGCTGTGATATTGTGATTGCTCACCTCAGACGAGGCTTGATTCCCAACTAAACAGGTACAAATTAGTCACCCCTTGGGATTTTTTGCTACCTGTGGCATTTTAGGACAAGAGTTTCTCTTTTGGTTTCCCCGGTGATCTCACCAGCGCATCAGAAAAGCTGGTAAGGCCTTTGGTGTGCCAGCTAGGTGATTGGAGCAGGAGCTGAGGTCACACTTTCACTGCAGGAACTCTCCTTTGTAATCAGCATATTAGCTTACTAACAGAGTAATAAGATCAAAGCCCATCCTCCATCTCTACCTGCTTGTGTAACTCCTGTGCTTTTTGTGCCTTTTGAGGGAAATGGATGAGTTACTCTCTTCATCAGATGGTTAGATTGGATGGGCAGCACTGGTTGTATCTCCCAGAGCACCAGGGCCATCTGTACCTGAACAAACCCCTTTGGGAAGGGGCAAAACCAAAGCCAGACTGAGTCCTGAAACCCCTCTCTACACGCATAACACTGCTACATGGTGACTCATTGCATAAGTCTGGTGGTAACACAATCACACCTTGGGCAAACTGAATGGTCTGGCCCATGTGCTGCATTTTGTAACTGCTTAGCATCAATCTCTCTGTTTTTATTATAAATTTTATAACTGATGAGTCATTGTCAGATTCCACACTTACATATATTAATAGCTAAGAGATTTATGGCCACACTCTTACGTTATTTGCTCTAACTACATATGTTTGATCATCTAAACATGTTATGTCCAGAGGATCTCAGTGTGCTTCAGTGATCTCTGTGGCAATGAGCCTTGTATTACTTTTTGTTTCTGGTAGCGAAAATGTGTTTCCTTTGCTCTGTTTTATATATGGTATATAATGGTATACATTGTCAGTACCCGGAGCTGTTATCATGGTATGCAAAATGAAATAAATTCTGGAGGAAAAGTTTGTTCTCCTAGAAATAGCAAATTGTCTTCCTGTCAAAGAATATGCGTAAGTAGAATGAAAACACATCTAAATGTGTTACATGTTCTGCGTCTCAGTTATTTGCAGCTAGAAATGACAGCTCAGAAGGAAAAAAAAATGCACCTTTTCCAGAGAACCTATGTACTCTCAGTTCTGCAAGAGCTAGAGAACTTGGAGTATTTTTAGGTGCAGACAGATGATCTTTGACAGCTTAACCTAAATCGTGTGTTATTAAATTCATAGTATCTCAGACACACAGTGATGTAGGAAAAGCAATCCCCAAAGTAGGTTAAACTGGGGGGGTGTTAGGGTGTAAAGGTGGCATGGTTTTTGTCTCTAACAGTTTCTCCAGTAACATCTTTTCCTTCCTGGCACATAGAAAACTGTCTTTCAGTCCTGGAGCTCACACATGACTTGGGAAGTCCTGGTACGCTTCAACCAGTTTCTTTTGTTCAGCCTTTCCAGGTGTAGCTAATAAATACCACATCATAGGGGAAGGTATTTTATCTCACTTCTTCACATAGACAATGTACGCAGATGAGTACTCTGCTTTTGCACACACTTTCATGCACTAAGATAAGAACATACATATGAGTTCCAGCAGTGACACTAGTAATAGAAGTGGATTATTGACTAAGCTTTTGTTTAAAGATCTTGATATCTTGGGAAATCTTGGAAATATCCCTTTGAAGGTTTGGTATTTTAAACAACATTTATGAGATACTGGACCTTAAAGATGCATAGAGCTGAATACACAAAAAAGATAGTGTAGATAATTTGAGTGAAGAAACACATGGGTTAAGCACTTAAGTGGGATCTTGCCCAAACTCTCACAATACCTAAGATATCTTGGTCTTAAGAGCAAAGTCAAGAAAGAAGCAGTATCCAGTAAAAACGCCTAAGCTAACTCGAAAGGGCACGTGCCCTCAACATTCACATAAATCTGTGTGGTATTTAGAGGCTTCCTTTGTACTCATCTTGAATGATCTTCAGAAGATCACTCATGTCTTTCCAAGTCACAGGTAATGAAGCCATCTGTCATAATGCCTGTCGCTGGACCCCCTTGCGGGTGGATTCTGAGTCATAGGAAGCAGAAAATTGTCTGTACACATTTCTCAGCCTTGAAACTAGACAGTGTGAAAAGCCAGAGAAGTCAGGGTAGTCTAAGGTGGGATTGCAAACTTAGTTCTCTCATGCGAATTCTCCCAGCACCCATGTCTATGCTGTTAGGTACTATGGTAAACACTGAAAATGCCTGTACATATATATATATCACTTCTGTAATTCAAATGATGCTGTTGCTCTGTCAGGGCTTTATGAACATCACTGACTTCTCCAGGAGACCTTCAGCTTTTTGTGTAGCTCTCACAGCAGGGAAGGCTATCTGAGGTCTATCCCTTTCAGTGGTGGTAGCTGTCCCAGTTAAGGCAACATCACCATAGACCATATCAGCCACCAGTTATGCAGTCTAAAAAGGAAGCTAAAACTCCTTTCTTAGAAAGAAGCATTAGAATAACCTGATGTGACAGATAAATAAGAGTTAGCACTACAGGTTATTCGCCTCCTCTGAAGAAAGGGGATATTATTCCCACAGCCCCATTGAATCCACCCCTCTGTGCAATGACTGCACACATCCTCAAGTTAACCTAGACCAGAAAAAATGCAGAGGAGGGGAAACAGCACTGGGATCTTTGTCCTTTTCCTAAACTTTGCTGTGCAGTCCAAGCATACTTTAAGCATTAGGCACAACGATTGCTATTTCAAATAGCCCTGGTAGGTTTATGGCACTGTCAGGGAGTAACCACCACATCTCACAGTGCGTGCAGGAGCTAAGACCGGTTGAGGCACAGTTTAGCAACCAGACAGCACGTAGGGCAGGAGAGTGTTTTTTCCTCTATGTGACTTGGCGAATAAGGGAAGATTTATACATGTGTTTCTCAAGAACAGTTATAGGAGTTGCCCAAAGTTCTGCTCTGCATACTTGGTCAAGAGAAAGACCAAACAGCTTAAGTGGAGAATTCTGAGTAAATGTTCCTGTTCCTCTAACAGTGTGCTGTCCTGCCCTGATCCTTTCAGATTTATTTGTCTTGGGCTTAGGAATCCCCAAATTATGACCTTTTTTTGAGGACAGCCACATTGCTTTCAGTCCTGAAGCCCTGCTCCCTGCTAATGGAGAGAGCTGCTGTTTGCCTCCAGCTTGCAGAGCAAAGGACATCGAAGGGGGATCAGGTGGGATGTCTGGCTCGGGACTGCCCTCTTTGACTACTCTCAGCTTTCCTTAGCTCCAGGCAGATTTCTGCCCCTGTATCAGACACCAAATCTGCATCCCTTCCAGATCCAGACATACCTATTCATGCAAGATTTATAGTTTGTGTCTAATCCCTGACGTGATTCTTTGCACAGTATCCAGGACACATTCATTCCCCTTTGGAGCTTGCCTTCAACCTCTTTATCCTCCCAGCCCCCAGAGACTTTTCTCCTCCTCTGTCTAGGCACAAGGGGCTTGCTTAAAGACTGTAATTTGAAATGAATTTTACTTCCCTTTGCTTGTCATATTAACATCACTACTGAAGTCTCTCACTTAGATGTAAGCATAGGCACTTGAGTGTATGCATTTTGCAGATGTTACTCCCTGACAATTCTGCCTTCAGGAAAGATAAAGTTACAGAGAGTATGGCAATAGGGAAACTGCCAGGTGAAGGAGTGGGACACAGCACCCGGCTTCCCATCAGAATTCCAACTGAAGGGACATGTGCAGCCTCTGCCTGCTCCTTCTTAGGGATCCAGCAGCGTTTTGGGCTGACAATGCCAAAAAATGCAAATCTATCAACTGCTAAATCAACTTCGGAGACAAACGGCAGTGATCTGATCACTGTCTCAAAGGGAAGTGCATGCCCAGCCAAAACTGCCTGTTTGTTTGCTCTGCCTCCCAAACAAGCCCTTAACCAGCACAAAAAAGAGTTGTTTCTGCAGCCGGTAAAACAAATACAAGTAAAGGAAACATGCAGAATAGAAACTGACAAGAAGGATGCTTGCTTTCTCCCCCTCCCCATCCCCTGCTGTGACACAAATCAGGCTGTATTTAACATCATACCGAACCCTGTCCTTGCTTCCTCTGCAGCGAAGAGTCTCATTTGCTGAACACACCGGCACCTTACCTGGGATGAATGTCCACAAGCAGCACCAGGGTCTGCATAGTGATCACGTCAATCCGCTTACAGTGAAACCGGGCCACCTTCAGCACTTTTAGATATGTGAAACACAGGACTATAAGGGAGAGGAGGAAGCTGAGGGTGTGAAAGACCCCAGTGAAAATCACAAACTGTGTCCTATCCTCTGGTCTCTTGTTGTACAGGGTGCAGGAGGCATAGAGGTGATGGAAACCCACCCAGGAGAGAGAAGCTGCCACTATCGGGAACGACACTGAGTGCAACCACGTGTAGCTCAGTATGAGAGCAGCATCTCTGTACCTCATTTTGGAGTGATAACTTAGAGGAAAGACCACAGCAATCCACCTGTCAATGCTCAAAGCTGCCATGCTCAACATGGAGTTCGTGGTGAGGAAAGTCTCCAGGAAACCCACAGCGTGGCAGATCTGATCTCCTCCTGGTTGACTCTTGTAAATGATCCCAGCCAAGGTCAGGGGCATGTTCAAAACAGTCATCAACAGGTTGCAGAAGGTGAGGTTGAGGATGAACAATCCTGGGACCTGCTTGCGGATGTCAGCGCTGTACAGGAAGCACATCAGCACCAGCACGTTGGCCAGCAGGGCCACGAGCATCAGCACCACCACCACGAAAGCCAGGATCACCTCCCAGATGCTCATGGTGCGTCCAGTCACAGGAGGGACATCTCCGAAACTGCTCCGCGCTGGCACCCGGGGAACATGGTGCAAGGTGCACCCACCTCGCCCTCCTCCCCAGCCTGCTCACACTCTTGCATGCCCTCCGTATTTTTAGAAGAGCTGCAGTTTTTGTCTCTAACCTCCCCCTCCTCGCTGCTCCTTTCCACGTCAACGCTTCCCGAGACGTGCACAAAAGCACTGGGAATGCCCATCAAACTGCGAGGAGGGCTTAAAAAATATCAGCAGGACTGAACCACTGTCTCCATTCGGTCCATTGGAAGGAGAGAGGGTTATTCTGAGAAACTGCTCTCCTGAGATCCCTAATTACCAGCCCCAAGCTCGCAAGCAATTCACCGAGTGAATTGTGCTCCCCTTCTCTCTTGCTTTCTCTCTGTCTCTGTCTCTTGCTCTTTCTCTCCCCTCCCCTCTCCTCCAACCCTCACTCCCTTCCAGGCTGAATTTAACCTGCTTTTTATGATCACAGATAAAAACCCCATTAATGGATTAAAGCATGCACACTGCTGGTGATTCGCAAACGTGATTATGTCATCCCCACCCCACAACCCCTCCCCTTCTCCTTGCGACTAGACTTTCCTCAAGAGAATCCCATGCTTTCATTTAATTGATTTAGCCATTAATTTGCAAACAGCCGTGTAACTGAATTCCTGCACTCCAGTGTGTTTCCTACGTCTCGGTGCATCACTCTCACAGTTGCTGCTTGCACTCAGCAAGGGGTTTTCGTTTCTCTTCATTAGCTGTGCTCAAAAAGATGAGGGGAAGAATAATGGATGCATTCTGCTACTTCTCTGGAGCTGTCATTAAGCTAACCAGGATGTTTATACTGCTCGAGTTTAGCACTTTGCAGTCTTATGTCTCCAAGCACAATGTGCAAGAGGAAAACGATTGCCTCCCCTCCTCCTGTAAAAACAGGGAAAACAAAGCCCCAAATGCCACTGCCACATGCCCAAGGGCACAGAGCAGGTGAGTGGCAGAGGCAGCAACGTGCTGCTTGTCTTGCTATTCAGTCAGGCTTTCTCCTCCTCAGCAGCCTTCGCATCTTCCTAATCAAAGCCTCCTTCTCTGTGAGGGTGAGCACCCTGCGAGATCAAAACCAAGCAGCAGCTTGGCAAAGGAAATAGGAATGAGCCTGTGTTGCACATAATTAAGTGTTAAAAGCAAGTTTGTTTTAAAGGGCAGAGTGGGAACTGATTTCTGCTTGCCTTTCCTGTCTCTTTAAAGCAGTTTTCACTGGGAATGCTGCAAGTTTGTGAGCAATCGGGACAGCTTTCTCATCAAGGCAGCCAAGCCTTAATCCCTGCACAATAACAAGGCAAAAGATACCCTGCAGCACAGCTATTGTGGCTTAGTAAGTGCCTCTGCACGTGTGCAAGAGCTAGATGCTGAGGTGGATTTCTCCTCCGTGTCACAGCCCTTTCCAGCACCATGCACGCTTGGTTTCCAGCGGCTATTCATTGCACTTGGGTTCAGCCACTCAGTAGCAGAGCTGTCACCCTGCACCATGTCAGAGCATTGCATGCTACAGGAAGGACCTTTCTCTTCCACTTGTGTTTTGTTTTCTTAAACCAGGCTTTAAAGGGCTAACAGAGACAGAAGACTGTCATGAAAGGCAGATGGGACTCTCTGGGACAGTGTAATGGGGTACAACTGTGAGCTCCTTGTCTCCAAAACATGTTCTCATGTGGGGTGGATGAGAAGCAGGACTCTGGTGTCTGCCAGTCTTTTCCGGAGGCAGTGGTCCAAAGCTACATGAGAATAGCCTAGAGGAAAGTCCTTTAAAGAAGAGGAGTCTTTACCCTCTTAGGAGGGGCAGGCTGAGGAGATGAGAGAGAAGATGCAGATCTTCTGTATGACATCGGTTTGAGAGAGCTGGGCTGGGTCAGCCTGGAGAAGAGAAGGCTCCTGAAGGGGAGACCTGAGAGCAGCTCCAGTGCCTAAAGGGGCTGCAGGAAACCTGGAGAGGGGCTTGGGACAAGGGCCTGTAGGGGCAGGCCAGGGGAATGGCTTTAACCTGCCAGAGGGGAGACTGAGATGAGCTCTTAGGCAGAAGCTCTTCCCTGTGAGGGTGCTGAGGCGCTGGCACAGGGTGCCCAGAGAAGCTGTGGCTGCCCCATCCCTGGCAGTGTTCAAGGGCAGGTTGGATCACAGGGGCTTGGAGCAAGCTGCTCTAGTGGAAGGTGTCCCTGCCCGTGGCAGGAAGGGCTGGAACTAGATGATTTTAAGATCCCTTCTCCTTAGATAGGAAGAAACAGTCCTGTCTGAGAAAGGCATCCCAGCATCAGCAGCCTGAGTAGGCTTTCCATGTTACAGTACCTATCCTGAGGCCAGCTCAAAGCTCAGCAAGCAAATACAACTTCCAGCCCTGGGAAGAAACCTGGGAAGAGTTCAGAGACAAGAAGAAGAATGTGGCAAGGCTTGCTACGAGACTAGGAAGGACAGTGAAAAAGGAGAAAACTTGGTGGCATACAGGAGGGAGGCAGGTACTCTGTGACAGTGGTAGAGGGGAACCTCATACCCACTCAGTGTCAGTGACTGCTCCTTCCCATGCTCAGCCTTCTCCTTGTCTCAAATCAATCCTGTGAGGCTCCCAGCTGCACAAATTGTTCAAGACCCTGCAGCACGGCATGGGGTAATTTAGCCATTTATCCTGCCCTGCAGCACACGAGGCTTTGGGTTTATCAGGATGTTTCCTGAAGCACCATGCTGGTTTCCCTTTAGTGAGCTGTGGTGCCTCATGGATTCAAAAGCTCTGCTCGAGAGTAAACCCCTGGTGTGACAGGAGGTCTGGCATCAGTGTCAAGCCTGGTTGACAGGGAGGGGGGAAATTTGTGTCTGGAGAGAAAGGATTAGGGATAACAGTCAGGAAAAGAGGATTCTCCCAAAATGATGGATAGATGTGAAATAATAGGAGGCAGAATGAGATAGCGCAGTGAAACAATGATGGAATATGAAAGGTCAGATTTGGGAGTGGTATGGGATTGACACTGCAGTGGATTTGCCATGAGGGGGCCAAAGTGGAGCTGGTGTTCTGGAGACAACGGTGGACAAGGGGTAATAGTGGACAGGGCAGGAGAAGCTGGCAGGACTGTGGACTAGCCTTATTGGATCTCTTTACCAGGGAGTGGAGAAGCTGCAGGAGTGGATAGCTGCAGAACAGTCACTGTATCCTCTGCATGGTGTCTGAGCTCCTTCTTCCAAGACCTGAAATCTCCCCTCCTTTCACCTGGACTTTTTTCCCCCATAATTTGACAGGATGCTACTGCCATTCCTATCATTGTAGGAAAGCTAAATTAAAGCATCAAGCTGGCAGGTACTTTGGTAATTGTTGGGCTAAATATATGAAGCATTCCTAGTCCTATGCTTCACAGTTTACTGATTGCTTTTCTTATCAAGCTATTCTGTGTCACACAAGTTTCTCAGGTAAAGAAAACTTTGTTTTCAGTAAGGTTAAACTCCCTGTTTACAGGGAAAACATAGCAGCTAAAAAGGGCTTAAATTAACAATCAAATGAAAGAGCTTTCTAGATTTCAGGAGAAAGCTGAAGTTGTCTATGGTTCTCTTTATGACTGATTTGAGTCTCAGTATGTATGTCTAATTTTAAAGGCCCAAGTGATTACACAATTGATTCCCCTGGTGGTAGCCCCTGCAGGAGATGATATCTGCTGAATGCCTCTGGATTTATTTATCATGCATACCTAAGAAAGCGTGATGGACCCATCAAATATGGGTGAATTTTATAATTAATTTTATCCACAAATGACTGGTTTTAGAAGGATCACACAGATCTCTTGCTATACTTTTACAACAGCCTATAGCTAATGGATTTATGGCCAACACACCACATGCATACCAGATTACCTTAACGAAGCTGTGATGTGTACTAGTATTGTACCAAACAGGAAAAATATGCAACAATATGAAACTCCTCTAGATAAGAGATTAATTTACTACTCTCCATGCAGTAATTTTCATTACATTTTTGTCTATATTTGGAAATGAATGAAGGCATAAAGCTGATTAAAGCTTCAGTATTTTGGGTTGACCTTTCAGTTTCAGAAAGGCTGTGACACGCGAATGGAAGATTTGTCTTTGCTGGAGTGTTCATGAAGGGAAAACCATTCTCAGCATGTTGTCCCACTGAGATGATGAAATAGCTATTTGGGATAAATTACATTTTCAAAGTTATGTCCTAAGTGTCCTAGATAGGAGGCTATTCTGATGACCTAACTAAAAGATCTAAGACACTCATTTCATAGGAAACTGATGTTTACGGCTTTGCACCTCTGAGAAAACTACTTGGAAATCTCACCTGAAGATGCCTTTGAGATCTAATGCATTTCCTTTGTACTGAAGCTTGCAGCTCTCCAGTTTTTCTCTGGCAAAATTAGGGAATCTCAATTTCATGCTTTCACTGTGCTTCCCTTCTCCTATGGTCTCACCTTCCTCCTTTGATCAGCAGTATACAAACTTTACAGAACTTTCATAACAAGAGTATTGACACATGGAAGAGATTGTTTCTCCCTTATCTGTGTCTTAGCCAGTTCAAAGACAATCAATTTCCTCCAGGAAACCAGTGTGCCAGCAGAAAGCCCATGGGCATTTCTTCTTGCCTCCATCAACCTTTATTTTTTGCTTCATAGCTGTTTGGAGAGCTTGTAATACATTCACAAACTGTAGAACCGGGTCATTTCACTTTATTGTCAATTAAACTAAGTTTTAGTAACAGCAGTATCTTTAGTCTGATTATTTGAAGGTCAAGTGTCACACTGGAATAGAACACAGTATTAGCCTCTTTTATGTAAGATAATGGCTCATTAAATCATCGTTTTGCTGGATCAATGGTAAAGTATCACTGGCTCCAGCTATGAGAATTTCACTGTATATGTATGGTAGAGGTAGCATGAGTAATGACTTGTGTAATGTCTACATACTTTGTCAGGACGGTAGACCAAATCAAAAGGGCAGCTGGCCCTGCTAGTTCACTGCTCCATTAACAAGGTCAGAAGCAGCAGAGAGCACTTTCTCCTCTGCTTCTGCAACACCATGACTTCTGCATGGCAATTGATCCAATCCTTTGGTCATCAGAGCAGAGGCTAAAGAAGAGAAGGCACAAGGAAGCTATTTAAGCACTCATATGAGTTGACTTTGGTCTGCCTTCAGCCCACTACCATGCAAAACCTTGGCAAGGCTGCTTGGTGGAGAGAGAAGCTGCAGTTCTCTTCCTCTCATGCCCTGGCTGACAGGGTGTCATGGTGCAGAGGCACCTGCTACACCTTCACTGAACAAAATGTGTTTTACTTCATCCCCCACTCTTCCTAGCCCCAAATAACTAGCATAGAGTCATAGAACCATATAATAGTTAGGGCTGGAAAGAATCTTAAGATCATCTAGTT